AAACAAAGTAAAGAACAAAAAAAAGAAAACAATCGATTATTAAATCAGTCATCGATTATTTTAATAATCGATTAGTCGTCAATTAATCGATTAATCATTGCAGCCCTAAAGATCATGATGTCTGTTATGATGAGTAACGGTGAATTTGATGCTCTCTCAGACTCTTGTCGCCTTTCCAGTCAGTTTTGCAGTTAAAGAGCAAAAAGGTGGTCCTGTTTGTGTGCCTGTTTCTTGTGAACCACTGGACAGATTTTTAATGAAACTTGCTGAAAGCAATCACAGGATGAACATCTACAACTGATTATGTTTTGGGGTTAATCCACTTCACACTATTTTGGCTAATCAACTTTAGCCCAAACAAAAAATGTTTATAAAACAATCCTTTTAACAGATTTGGAGCTAAAATTTGATATGTTGATCTTACAACTGTGGCATGAAAGCTGGTGCATTCCTTTAAGGAACGTTGAGCTTTGAATTTAAGTTTGATTACAGCTACGTCATATGTTATCTTATGTGTGTTATTTTGTATATAAAAGATGGATTGTGTCATTGGTTTGTTAATTACGGTACACAGTGTTGCAACAAGCTTACTGCATATCACAACAGGTTAGAGTACAGGAAGAGGAGTCCAGCTCCGACTGGGTCAGCTGACCCCCAGCCCCCGCATCATATCTCAGCCTCTATTCATCTCTGTAATGTGTGTAATGAAGTTGAGAGTCCACTGCAGCAAAATGTTTTGACTCCAGCGGGGTTATTACTCTTCCTCTGGAGGACAGCAGGGGGAAGGAATGGACACTGACTCAGCACACTCTGTCCACTCGGGCCGGTCCGGCCTGTTTTATGTGAACACCTTTGCCAAGATATGAAGTGGGCCTCCGATTGAACTGTGTCATAATGTGAGGCTGAGCATGAAATTATTCATGTCGAGGCAGCGTGACGAGGTGGAGGGAGCTTTGTCCAACAGTCTGACCTCTCCTGCTGCTGCTGTCTTTATTACTGCTGAGCYCTCGGACATATTATGGGTTTGGAATTACAACCAGCTGATGTATAATGTCCATCACGTCTGAGTGGGCCATTATTTAATTACGTGGGTGGGGCGGGGCAAAAAGGCTTCTGCCATCGTCTGTGTGTGTGTGTGTGTGTGTGTGTGTGTGTGTGTGTGTGTGTGTGTGTGTGTGTGTGTGTGTGTGTGTGTGTGTGTGTGTGTGTGTGTGTGTGTGTGTGTGTGTGTGTGTGTGTGTGTGTGTGTGTGTGTACTTTTAGCGAAATATCTTGAAAAGATCTGTCAGAAAGAGCTTCAACTCACTTTTTGTGTCAACGCAGTTCAAGATGTCCGACACAGTTAAAATAACACAAAAATACAAATCAGAGCCCACAAAGCTGAGCACTGTGCCCAACACATACTTAATGCACAAAATTTACAAACGTGATATTTTTTGCTTAAAACCTTGCCATTGCCTGGGTTCAATTCTGTTTGTCTGTTAGCAAAATGTCTCTTGAGCCACTTCAGTCTAAAACTCTGGTGTGAAAGGTATTAGGCAACATTTATGATTGTTTACACACTTGGCAGTGGCTGAATAAAGAATTATAGTTGCATGAATGCTTCTAATCATTATTTTTTTCTTCTATATGTTTTTTGGAATGTATTTTGTTCTACAATTTTTGTTCCATTTTAACAATTTATARATCAAAATGTTCAGTTCCTTCAGGACATTCTGGCAATGGTTTTTGGTATTTCAGCAATTTATACTGTTGGAGATATTTAGCTTTTTCAGCCATTTTTATTTACACTGAAAATGAACAAAGCTGTTTTCATCATCCTTAAAACCCTTCAAATCGTTCATAAATCTTTACTGGACTTTTTACCTTTACCTTTGTTTTTGTACTTTTTGCTAATTTAAGCTTTCTTCGGCTTGTAGTTTTCTGATTTTATTTTTTCTGCAATTTTAACTATTATTTTGACATTTTCTGCCATTCTTTTGCTACTTTCAACTTTTTTGTGCTTCTTTTCGCTAATTTAACATTTTTATGCTTCTTTCAGCTATTTTTTTCTATTTTCAGTTGGTTTTTTGTGTTTTAGCCACTTTTTTATTTCGAGTTTTTTGCTGTTTAACTCAGCAAACATGCAGTTTCTTTTTCTTTGTGCTTATTTCAGCTCTTTCAGTAGATGTTTTTTTTTGCTAATATCACCTGTTTTAGCTCATTTATAACAAATTTTAAACGTTTTTGTGTTCCTAGATTTTCTGCTAGCATGAGTATTTTAATCTCATCGTCTAGCTGCTAATTTTAACTGGTGAAATGATGAACCCTATTAATTTCAAGGTCACAAAAAAATTCAAGGTCACAGGTTAGCTATTTTCCTGTTTTTTAACCTTCTTTTGTCTAAATTTTAACTACAATCATTTTACATGCTTTTTTGTTGTAAATTAATCTTTTTTGCTTATAGCTATTTCTTTTTGCTTTTGCTTTTGTAGTTCCAACTTGTTCTGCTTTCTAAACCACTTCTTAGTAATATTGACTATTTTCTGCTCATTTTAGCTACATTTCTGCTCTGTTCAGCTTTTTTTGACACAATTTTGCTTTTTCGTCTACTGATTTTTCACATTTTTTGTCCCACTTTCAACAAAAGTCAGCTGTTCAAATTTTTTGTCATGAAACATTTTCAGCTTCTTCAACAGCTTTCAGTAAAATCTTTCAGCATTAAGCATTCACACTGCATTTACACAGGAAATGCAAATTCTCTAGCTATAATAAATGTTTATGAAAACATTACAAAATGTAAATAAATAATAGCCAGAAATTAGCAGTTGTAGAAAAAAGCAAAACTAAAACCCGAAGGCAAAAAGCATTCTAGATATTATACTATTGTTAGATATGATGTGAATGTTGCATCATTTAGACGCTGGAAGGGTATTTTTAGTATATTTCGAGATGCAGTGAGTAATAAAAAGTCCTGACAGTGAGCGTGTGTCAAGCTGAGTCTGTGCTGCGGTTAGTTGTTTGCTTTATTCGCTTCACATTTTGACAGGAAGGAGGAAGAGTCTGACACAGCATCTGCACGAGATCTCTGTGGATGCTCGACCATCTCTGCAGCCCTCAGCCCTCCCACAGCGACTGGACTTTAATGAATAACTGGGTGAATTATGATTGTTTCAGCCCCTCGCAGTTTATGCAAAGTTYTTATGCGGTCGGCCTTGTGAGGAAGAAGTAAACGCAGCACCGAAGTGAAATAGACCTTCAATTAGTCTGTTTGCCAGCAGATATATTTCAAGCTTTATCTCGTAGCTCCATCTTCCAGGGGAGTCGGGAGGAAAAGCATCTATGAGCATGCAGCTTGATTTTCTTTAATAAAAGCTGCAGAAATCAATTTTCTGATAAAGTCAATATGCATTTAAATGGTGAACTTATGTCAGATGACATTTTGAGCCCATTATTATTTACTAGTTTTAAACAAACACATACAGTAGAGTAATACTATAGATTGTACTAAACTGGTAAAACTTTTATTGTTGAAGTAAAGCCTTGGTATCGCCACAAGTTTAATCTTTTCACTATTTTCAGACTTCAGTGGCATCTCTAAGGATTCAGCTGTTGAGTACATTCAGGCAGCAGACGGTTTAGCCCCAAGGTGTGATTAGTTTTAGMGTCAGGTACTGTAGGTGAGATTCATTTTAGGGTAAATGGTCATGGTTAGGCTGTAAGATTACCAGAAAATGAATGGAAGTCAATCCACGGTCCCCATGGGGATATAAAAACAAACCTGTGTGTGGGTGGGGGGCGGGGGCACACAGTATTGATTAGCTGTCTGGTGTTTGCCTATGATTTGACCTCTGTGGAGTTCACAGGAAGTTATAAGAGGATGTTCGTTGGTTGGCTGGTGAGTTGGCCCAGCTTTAACCTCCTCTGTCACCTGACTTAAGCCCCGCCTCCTCCGGTGGTTCTGCTGCTGAACAAAGCTCAGCTGGTGTCAGTCTGGGTTGTGTTTGTCAGCGCAGTGTGGTGTGACAGACGCTTGCTCTGCTTAAAGTATCTTCCTGCTGTTTTAGATTTTTGTGATTGTGCGAGAATAGTTTTTTGTGTATTTATCAATTCAATGACAGAGCTAAATCCTGGTACAGAGCTCAAAAATGAAAAATACCTGCTCTTTACACTTTTTTTTTAAGAAAACACATTTCTTCCTCCTGTCACATACATATGGTTTAAGGCCCTGTCGCATTATAATGTTTTAGACAACTTGCGCCAAAGAAACAGCCTCAAAACAAATTGGTCTGAGAGGTACCTCTGAAAAGGGTTGAAAGAGGGGCTTGTGGAGTTACAATAAGGAGGAATTAAGGATCTCTTGTGTATTTGAGAGCTGGTTACTGCGTGGTTGTCCTCTCCTAATCATTTTTGCTAACCTGTATTTCTTGTGAATGAATGAAAACTACAAACAAATAAAATAGAGTAATAATATATAGCATATTATAAATCATTTATTGCAAAGAGAAATCATCAACTTTCCTCCAGACTTACTTAATGTAACAGAGATGTTCCTACATTCAGAACACCAGGCTGTTCTTACAGGACAGATCATGAAACCACTGAGGACTGGACTGGACCCACTGTTCTGGGTTTTGGTGACACTTCCTGCACAGCTCTTAGAGAGCAGCTTCTTGTTTCACTGCTGTATCTGTGGCTCACTCTTCTTTCTGGTTTTACACCAAGAGTCATTTCCTGCTGGATCACGTGTGATGCTGTTAGATGATGTAATCGTGGGACACATTTGATAAAACTCGGAGCTGAACAAAGAAAAATTATCTGTTCTGACCACTCATATTTAAACGGTTGGCCCAGTCCTGATACGGTGCTGCCCTCTAGTGAAACACAATATAATAGTTTTTACTCTTACTGCATCCGTCTCACTGTTTAATGCTCTTTTATTTGTCTTTCAGGCATTTTATTTTCGACGTTAGTGTTCGGCCCAGCCTGTGGCTTCATCCTCGGTTCTGTTTGTACCAAAGTCTACGTTGATGCCGTCTTCATTGACACCAGTAAGTTGGTAAAAACAAACAAAAAAGTTACTTGATACAATTATTTCATACAAACAATTTTTGTGGAATTTTTTTGTAAATCCAAACGTTTGATGGTAATGGAGATTTAGTGACAAACACAATGACTGTTTTCCTACAGAGGCATGATTTTACATGGTTTCAAACCTAAAACATAAAGCATTTTATTTTAAAATAATTTTTTAAGATAAGATGATCTTTGTTTAAAGTTCTGAGATAAACGGCACAGAGCGATTTGCATTTATTTAAGAAAAGATCTTTAAATATTTGAGCTTTTTTTTTCAGATTTTCTAAATCATTTAATTGTTCAGTTTATTGTGGATAATGAGGTTTTCTGCAGAGAAATGTTGCTGAAATGCCTGATCACTCTTTCAAAGTGTGGCTTGACCTTGATTATAATTATTGAATGAGTCAGACGGTCTTGAACACTTTAAAAAATCAACATTTGTTTCTGATTATTTGCAAATTATCTTAATACGTTTGGAGCTGTTCGACCCAGATTCCATTTTTTAACATAACAACTTCTTCAGCCTTTAGGTGATGATTTGGAGCAGGGGCAGCTCYTGACATAGGCAGTACAGSCAAATGCTAAGGGTGCAATCAAGCTAGGGGGCACCACAAATGAGGAATAAAAAAAAAGATTTTATAACATTTTATCAAAGTATAGTTGATTTAATCTGTAGAATAATCACTGGTGTCTCAGGTTTACAAAGGTAACTTGTTCTGCAGGTTTCTCAGCTGCTTTGTAAGGTTATATGGTGCGGGGGATATTTCATGATAAAGTGTCGTATGATGCTGTCAAGACCAACCACTGGTGCTCAGCGTGTAAATAGAAAACAAAATAAGGACAGTGGAAGTTTCAGTTCTGATCTCAGATAAAGTTCAGGTTAAAGTCTGGTTTTCAGTGTTCTACCTTCATAAAATACTGATTTTATTTTGTTTTATTAATCCCAAGGATTTAGTAAAACGCTCTTAAAATGTACAGAAAATACACAGTTTTGTGTAGATCTTTGACTAAATTTTCTGGGGGGAGTATACCCCTGGAACCTCCTTGAACTGCTTCACTCCACAGCTGCTTGTTAACATGAACGGTGTTCCTCGTTGTCAGCAGTTGTCGGCAGGTGTGAGGCAGACTTCTGATTTTCTGTTTGAAATGAACGATATTGTTAACTATTTTAATTGGTCAACCTTGCTTCTAAAAATAAAAAAAAGTAATATCAAAGACAAAACTATTTGATTTGGTTTGTGAATGTATGTAAATTGGCAGCGAGATTTAGAAAACTGAACTAGGGGCACCACCTGAAATCTTGCCTAGAGTGCCAATTGGCTAGGGTTCCCTGATTTGGGGAATACTGTTTCATGTACAACGCCAGTCGTTTTTGTGCGAACAGGGCTGCAAAATGGGAGTATTAACTGTCCAAKCTTTTTCTTTCGCCTTCAGGTAAGCTGGACATCACCCCTGACGACCCTCGCTGGATCGGGGCCTGGTGGGGGGGCTTCCTCCTTTGCAGTGCCTTACTCTTCCTGTCGGCCCTCTTCATGTTCGGCTTCCCCCAGGAGCTGGARGAGCAGGACATAAACGGCGGAGGGGAGAGTGAGCAGGCCATGCTGCCTTCGGCTCTGTCCCAGGAGAGCCAGGGTCCTAAACCCAACGGAGCCATCCGAGGCTTCGATATGAACAGTGGACTCTCAGTCTGGGAGCATCTGAGAGGTGAGAAGGTGAACAGATCAGAGGGGGGGGTGGTGTGGAACAAAAAGGTTCTCTTTGACTCGTTTCTGTGTCTTTTGACCCAGTGATCCCTCGGGTGACCAGGCACCTTCTCTCCAACCCCGTGTTCAGCTGCATCACGCTGGCGGCCTGCATGGAGATCGCAGTGGTGGCTGGTTTTGCTGCTTTCCTGGGAAAATACCTGGAGCAGCAGTTCAATCTCACCACCTCTTCGGCCAATCAGCTGTTAGGTACGCAGCTCCCTTTCTCTACAAGTTCCTATAAAATCATTAGAAAGGAAGGAAGGATGACGAATAAAGTAGGAAAGAAGCACAAAAACAATAAATCTGTTCAGTTTTACGAGTTTATAAAACGTAAAGTAAAGAAAAAGATGTACTGTTGCCTTTTTTTAGACATGGTTTTAAAGTTTATTATTATTTATTTCATGTGTTTTGAATTAGTTTCATCTAGTTGGACTTTTTGTATTCTATTCCTTGATTTAGCCTTTTCTTGGGGCGTCTCATAAAAAGTGAAGAGCAGAAAACTGAACCTGAAACCTTAAAAACCAGGTGCTCTGTGGTCTCCATGCAAGACCCAAAGAACATCTTACAAGTTACAAACCTCAGTGAAGTGAAGGAACAGTGAAACACACGCACTACATGAATGATTAGAACTACTTTAGTGTGAGACTTAGGGGAGCAGCCAAAAAGGACATGTTACACAAAAGAAAGAATATATCTCATTACAGGTGTTTTCCACGGATGGAGGGAGTTATCAGGRTAAATGTTTTACTGAAATAGATCATCAGACATTTTGTCAATAAAAAAATTAGTTGCTGTAATTTGAATCAGTGGATTGTCAGGATGCTTCATAGATGAGTTTTTTCCTGTAGTTTTGTGTTTTGGTTTATTTTTGAGCTGATTGTACCAGCTGCAGCCACTTTTCAGTGAAATGATTATATCAGTCAGCTCACAAGAKTCAATGGTTCCCAGTTTGAGGATGTTTTTTGGCTTTTTTTTTAACTCATTCATCTTTATATGTTAATTTTCTGCATATCAYTTTTTCTGTTTTCAGTTCGTTCTGATGTGATTTTTGCTTTTTCCTCTCCAGGGATGACAGCCATCCCCTGTGCCTGTCTGGGTATCTTCCTGGGTGGCCTCCTGGTTAAGAAGCTGAACCTCTGTGCTCTGGGTGCCGTCCGCATGGCCATGCTGGTCAACCTGGTGTCCACCGCCTGCTATGTCTCTTTCCTCTTCCTGGGCTGTGACACGGGCCCTGTGGCCGGGGTTACAGTTGCCTACAGCAACGAGTAAGACCAACAACCGACTAAACGAAACTCTCTTCCCCTACAGATCCACGCCGGATCAAACTGTGGTTGCTGCTGCACCGTTTGCATGGTTTGTAGGCGTTGTGTAGTCCCTGACYTGGTGTTTGACCTCCTCCCTCTGCAGAACGCTGCGGTCCTGGCAGCAGCCGGAGTCGGCCTGCATCAATAACTGTAACTGTTACACCGCCTCGGTCAGCCCGGTGTGTGGATCCAACGGAGTCACCTACATCTCAGCCTGCTTCGCTGGCTGCACCAAACCAGTGAGTCCACACCGAGAGAAGAACAGCAGCACACTGGGTTAGGTGTTTGTACCCACGGTGCTTTCCTGACCCTGCCTGTGGTGTTTTTTCTCAGAACCTGAGTAGCTGCGCGTGCATATCCAGCTCCAGCGAAGACGCCGTGGCTTTACCGGGAAAGTGCCCGAGTCCCGGCTGTCAGCAGGCCTTCCTCACCTTCCTGTGTATTATCTGTGTGTGCAGCATGATCGGAGCCATGGCTCAGACCCCGTCCGTCATCATCCTCATCAGGTAGGAAGCCGGCATGCCCACAAGAGGGCGCTGTTGTCATTTCAAGCTGATCGAGGCTGAGTCACATCCTGAAACATTTGAATTTTTTTGGTTATTTATTAGGACAGTGCACGTTAATCAACAGTACCATAATACATGGCAGTGTAAATATGCAAGAGTAAATATGCAACAGTAGCTAAATTTCATCCCTTGTCCTACAATTAAGCACAAAACAGAACTATTAGGGTTGGACATAGTCGTATCGTGTGCAATTAATCATCAGAAAAACATTAATCGATTATTTTTTGGCACTTGATGATTAATACAATTTATGCCACCAGGCAGACTGACTGGAGATTTCCCCGGTCAGTCTGCTCCGCTCCGCATAAAATATGACGAACATAAAAAAAAAAAAGTTCTGTAATTTATTTATTTATCTATCAACACAATTTAAAATTTGATATGCAGTATGGCCTTAAGTCTGTAATTTTGACACAGTTTGGAACAGATTTTTTCAAAGAGCAAATCTTTCCCACTAAATTGGTCATGTGACCAGGACATAAGGGTGTCCAGGGGATTAATCGTCAAATTAATCGTTATCAGCTAAATACCACAATTAATTGTGATTAATTTTTTGCCAATATTGCCCAAGCCTCCTCACTATTCAATTCATATAACAAAACACAGTACAAAGAAAATAACTAACAGATAAAAAACAACAATAAATAAATAAAATAAAAACAAAATTGAAAACAAGAAGGGAAAACACACACTCAATAGGAATAGCAATAGGCAATGGAAGACATTATGAATGAGTACATTGACTGATTTGCTTTCAACCAATGCTTAAGCTTCTTAAAATTTGAATAGTTTTCTCTGTCTCTGATGGGAATACAGTAGAAGAGGTATATACTGTATCATGGTGACAGTCACACATAGACACACCGGCTCAAAGTGAATGTTACATTACATCTATTAAAAAACAAAGTGTTACAGGTGTTTGTGTAAATCTAAAACCTGCCGTTTCCAAAGAAAATGACTCCTACAAGCTAAATTCACAGCTTGCAGTGAACTAGTGGTCTGTGCTGATCTCTCAGCTGTTAAAGCTGCAGATAAACACCAGCCCCCTGTGATCCTGAACAGGTGTAAGCAACTACAGAAAATGGCTGCATGAGGTGAATGCATATTGAAAGAAGGTCAGAAAAATGACATGGAGCCTCTGATGGTGAAATATTTGGGTGTTGTTGCAATCCCCGTTACGGAAACACGTGTCTGCTGAATCTACGACACAATGTTTAGATTTGATACACATTCATGTGCTGTTAAAACTAAAAGTAACCTTTGATTCCAAATATAACTGCAAAAACTAGAGTTGTAAAGTAACAAATTAAAACTATTTTGCTACTTTACTTAGTTTTATCCATATAGCCTTTACTTGAGTAATTATTTTTCTACTGACTTTTTACTTCTGCTCCTTATATTTTCATGCAATTATCTGTACTGTCTACTTCTTACATTTAAAAAATGTAAGAAGTAGGAAGTTCTTATTCCTATTTCATTTTGGCTTGTTTTTATTCTGGCTTATCACACCTGTACATGACACAGATCATGTCACACTCCAACTAGGATGTACAGTATGTAGCCTGTATGAAGATTACTGTGGTAGACATATACTGTACATGCATCAACAATAGCATTTTAACATTATAGTAATTAAGGCCTTCAGGAGAAAAATGTCAAAAAACTACACTACACTGTGCTCCCAAAAATGTCAATATGAAAATTCTAACTGCTCACTTTTACTGAATTACTTTTGATAAGAATAATACTTATATTTATAAGAATATTTTTCTCTAAGAATACTTAAGTAAAAGTTTTAAAGTATCTGACATTTACAGTACTCAAGTATAAAAAATTAAATGCTGAATTTACTTAACCATGTTATGTTACCTGGTTCCACTTAACTGAGTTGAGTAAATTCAAAGCAATATACCAGTTTTTTAACGAAAGAACATGAGTATGTTGCTTTGAATTTACGTTAAGTGGAACCAGGTAACATAACATGGTTAAGTAAATCCAACGTTTCATTTTTTTTACAGTGTATTATTCTTAAGGGAGACCTTAACTTTCACCAAAGTAATTTTATGGTTAGATACTTGTACTTTTATTCAAGTATTGCTTTTATGTACTTTACATAAGACAGGCAACAAGTTACATAGCAGCATCTCTTCTCTTTCAGAACTGTAAGTCCAGAGCTGAAATCATACGCCCTCGGAGTTTTGTTCCTGCTCTTAAGGCTGATAGGTAAGACATTTCTGTTTTATTTTCATCTTCAACAGGATGACAAAAGGCGATAATGTTGTGTGTGTGTGTGTGTGTGTGTGTGTGTGTGTGTGTGTGTGTGTGTGTGTGTGTGTGTGTGTGTGTGTGTGTGTGTGNGTGTGTGTGTGTGTGTGTGTGTGTGTGTGTGTGTGCTGTTTTGTGCATTTAAATGATTACTGATGTACATTTACAACATCTTAACTCAGTTTGACAGCTCATCAGCCTAAGCAAATGCAAAAATGTTTAGAACTCAATCAGTTTTACAGATGCTAGGCTACAATTTGAGCTGGTAGTAGCTGAGAGTTATTCCTGACACATGCTTTGATCTCACAATATCGCCTGAGGTTGCACAGATATTATATTGTATTTGTAACTTTGCTCGTTCTGCAGTAAGCTGTGTTCTCAKTGTTTAAAGTGAGCCAGAACCTGAGCTCAAACTGTTCTTGACTTATTGACCTGCTGTCTGTCRGCGACCTCCCTGCCGGTCCAGGCTTCATCCCTCCCCCTCTGATCTTCGGGATGGGCATCGACTCGACCTGCCTGTTCTGGAGCTCGGTCTGCGGCGAGAAGGGAGCCTGCATGCTCTACAACAACGTGTCCTACAGGCACCTGTACGTCAGCATCGCCATCGTCCTCAAGTCTTCGGCCTTTGTCCTGTACACCACCACGTGGCAGTGCCTGAGGAAGAACTACAGGAAGTACATCAAGAACAGCGAGGGCTACCTGACGCCCACCGAACTCTTCGCCTCCAATGTGACTCTGGACAATTTGGGCAAGGAGATCACGCAGAATCCAACCAACAGGACAAAGTTCATATACAACCTGGAGGACCAGGAGTCGTGTGACAACATGGAGTCAGTTTTATAGAGGCGATCTGCAAATAGACAACAGCAGCTATTAATGTGCAGTTTGGTGTTGTATCTGTTTAGAGCATCATTCGCTTTAAGGGTCCTACTCTCTTTTCACCCAGAAACATTGGACCCKTTAAGAAAAATGAAGAAGATATTATCTCTCTTATCGTAGTGAAAATCGACAGGATTAGAAAAAAGTGTTTAGGAATTTGGGGATATTCTTCTTCTTTAAGCAACGAAAAACAGAGATTACAAAAACAAAATATAACGATTCTTCTTAAAAACCAAACTCCATTAGGTTTAGGCTTACTATAAGACCAGAGCTTTGTCAGGTAGGTTATTTACCTGCAGTATTTCTCAGGTGTGGTAGAAAAGATGCAAAAATTATTCTTAAAACATGTTTCCTTACCAGTTTAATGCAGTTTGGACACTTCTTGAAACAACTTGCCAACCCTGTAGGATCTTAATCTTGTTTTTTACAGTATTAACTAACTTAACTCTGTCAGTTTCCACTTAAATCAAAAATAATTTTATGAGTCATCATAAAAGGCATTTCTGCAGCAGTGGAAAATTAATGAAGTCTTGTGGTTCTGACAGTTACAGCAGTAATTTTGTTAGTTTAGTGTTTTAAAACTGGTTGAGAAGTAAAAATRACATCAAATATTAACAAAAACAGTATTTAAAATATTTTTCTCAAAGTTATTTTAAATGTCAGAAGTATATTCTTCTATTTGAATCAAGGTCATAAACTTTATCCAATACATAGAAAACAAAACAAAAAAAAAAATACACTGGATTCTTTTCTTGCTTTAATCACATAATTGTTTATTAATAAGTAAAAGATTATCTCTTTATTTCAGGATCTATCTTATTCACAGAACCACAGGATTTTTGTTACTTTTTTTTTTTACTTAAAGTGATAGTTCAGGTCTTTCACGAGTGTTTGTGCAGAAGTTATGAACAATCAGTATCTTACCTGTCATAAGTAGGTCTTTTTGAACGTCTTCAGTTTGGAGAAAGAGCTTAATTCTGAGCACACATTTAGTCTGAGCAGGACCTACATTAAACTCTGTTTCTCCAAACGGAGGTCTATCAAGCTCTATCTACAACAGGTAAGATACTGATCATAACCTTTCCACAGAACCCCTGTTCAAAAGAATAAAGCTGAACTATCACTTTAACAACAGAGAACACACATGTTAATGTAGAGAATACAAACTATAAATTGTCACTTTAATGTCAAAGTAAATAATGTTGTCTGTTTGGACAAGGCAGACCTGTTTTTAATACCTCTGGCTGTCAGCGTGGTTAGACAGCTATCAAAGTACAGGGTGAGTCAAAAGTCACAGGACACCCCTTTTGACTCACCCTGTCCCGATCTGACTCCACAAGCAGCATAAATACTAATTGAAAACTGATGCAGTTTAATCTAAATATATTAATTTACAGGTTTGATATTTTTGTGTAAATGCATCCTGACGCAGGAATGCAAAGATAACAAAACAAGATTTTAAAACACAGACGTTGAGCCCCTGTGGTGTGTGTTATTAGGCATAAAAGGCTGGATCTGTGTAGAGGATGTTGTCACCAACACCACTGTCACCAGGCATAAAGCTGACAGTAGGAGCTTACAGACCGAGTAAGGCGCTTCATTTAAACACCAAATCAACACCATGAGACCTCATGATTATAGTATTTTAGCTGTCAGTGAGCACAGGGTCCTGGCAGAAATTAATTCAAATGCATGCTGTTGATGCATGCAAATAAAAAAAATCAGAGTAAAGTTAGGAGTTGCACAGACTCTGTGTTTGACACAAATGGCCTCTGGTTTGTGTTTACGACTATAGAAGAGCTTTATAAGCATACTGCATTGGGATGCTGAAAGGTTTTATCTTTATTATACCTCTGCTGAGTCACAATCACTCATACTGAAGTGATTTACAGGATTTTTGTTATTTTGTAAATCTTATTTACTTTTCTTCTTGAAGAAACAAATGGGCCGCTTATGTTTTACATATATAGATGATATATTCTACTGTTTTACCGACTTACTCAGTAAGTTTATTTTATACATTTTGCATCAAAAGTTCATTATTGCCACAGGTTCCTTTCAAGGTGTGGGCGGAGTTGTGGTAGCTCGGTGGTCAGTGCTGCGGCCTTGTAATCCTGAGGCTGCAGGTTTAAGCCCAGGTTAAGTCAGGAAGGGTAGCCGGGGTAAAACATTTGTCAAAACTGTCAGCAGAATGGAGCAGCCGAAAGACAAAACATGATTCCTTTGAAGTGTGGATGTAATTGGCAGACTTCACTGTTCTGCAGAAAAAAAAATACACCCTTAAATCAGTCCATATAAATACATGATTGACAGCTTGATTTTTTTTTTAATCATAGAGCTTTTTTTTATTTCTTAATACTGCAACAACTAAAACTTACCGTGACTGTTCTGGGTTAAAATAACAGCTTATTTTATTGGTGATGGTAAGTGGATTTTGTTTTCTGAGCCAGGCTTGCAGTTGGATAAAGACAAAAAAAAGTTAAAAGATTTAAATACCACAATGAAACTTTTGTTTTTTAAAAGATAATTTTTTAAAGTTGATCATAGCATTGTGTTAAAGATCAACCTTTAATGGACTCAAAATTGGCTGTAAAGTGAGTATGTAAATAAATACTCTGACATTCTGCAACAAGAATTAATACTTTCTCTTATTTTATGTCATTGGCGCCTGAAGTGCTTAAAGATTAACTTGTAGCAGAAAATGCAGGCCCTGTCTACACTACTGTGAATATTTAAACCTTTTTTTTTATTTCAGATGTATTTAGAAATACAGTCTTRAGAAACCTTTACCGCAATTCTGACAAAAATGCTGAAATACCCACAGAGCACCACTAGATGAAGTCAATGCTCACATTAACAACATCAAAATACAAAGAAAGCACATTTTGACATTTTTATTCACCGTTTAGTTTCCTCACAATGACTAATCCATTTCTGTACGCAGTAGGTTTAACTGAGTTTAAAATATCCAAACAGGTGTAGGCGGGGTCTCATGACTGCAGAGCTTAATGAGCTTAATGTTAACAATTAAAAACAGGTTTTAGATTTTCCTAAAGCAAGGAAAATTCTAAATAATATTACCTTCTGGCCACCTCCTCCTTCACAGTAACCATATTAGGTGGCTTTGTCTTTGCGATGTATATCATCCAGTGAATCACAGTATTAATTCCTCTGTACATAGAAGTGCCATAAATGTGCTGAAGTGACACCATAGAAATGTTCTGTAACATTGTGAGGAGAACTAAATGTTATTACGCAGCAGTACAGAGTGGATTCTCCGGGTGTTTGTTACCTCTTCCCTGAATTTATTTGTCAGCATCTAAAGTAAAAATGGCCCAAAAGCTGAACAACTGTTGTACATTGAACTAATGAACCGTAATATTTGACACATGCTCAATGTTAATAGGTAGGAAGTGTCTAAAAAGTGAAGGTTGTGCCTGGTTTTGATGAACCTCTACCACGTGGAAACATGAATGGTTTGCTCACTGATGGGAGCTTCAGCCTGACAGTGGCATTGTGCTGTACAGTGAACAGTGTTGACTGCAGAAGAATCAGCCAAACTTCACAGACTGCATCCCTGCAGCTGTGGCCAGGTGTTACTTTGTTTTTTCTTGTTCCGACAAGAGCCGTGTTGTGCCATATCAACCCGTGCGCTGCAACGTTCAGCGCTCACCTAAAAAGAAAACAAAAACAGAGAAAAAAGCAAACATTCTTGGTGTGTCCAACGTGTCGGCAAGTGTGACTGGACCTCATCACCTGCGGCAACAAGACTGTTTCTTTTGGCACCTCGATGTGCTTGACATGTTTTTTCCCTTGTGATGAGAAAATACCTTTAGAGCGTAAATGTTTTTTTAACATTCTATTTTTCTCATGATTCTCTTTCAATGGCCTTGCTTTATGGTTGACTTTTACAGTGGGACTCCAGTGATTAGATTATTGGCAAATGACGAGTTTAGTACCAAAACATCATGTTTGTGTCCAAAAATAAGCATTTAATCAAAAGTCCTCAACAGACCATTGTACTAGTTTCTTGAAATGATTGGTGATTGTGTTGCTTCAAATCAACTCTGAAAAACTGTAAACTCTTCATAAACACATAATCCTTTGGTCTGAGTCTCAGCATGTTGCCTTTGAACAAAGTGAAACCTTGAACGACGTTAGTGATGGTTTTAGATTGGCATGTCTGCTTGTGTAGATGGTATTTAGTGTGTGATCTTCAAGATTCTTTGCCATGGACCTATAAAAAGTAGAAGGGCATTGAAATATGAAAATTTATGCTATATTTTCAAAGCTTCACTTAATATTTTTAGATGTGCCCTCATACTTGTCTGGATTTTTTATTATTAACATTATTTTATGAGTTTGTATTTAAAAACTTTCATTTCTGTATATTTTTTGGAGATGAAAAGATGATTGTATGTTTATTGTAAATACATTAAATATACTATTTTTGTTTTCAGTTTGGACTTTTTGTTCTGATGATTTTTTGGTCGGCCAGCCAACGTGTATTTTGTTTGGATTCATGAGGGTTATGATTGACAAAATCTATTCAGCTTACTTCCTAAAATCATATATGCCTCATCTTGACCCGCATTTCTCTCTTATAGTAGTGTGGTTTCTGGTAAAAGTCAGAAAAGTTTCAATAAAATGCAATAGCTTTTTCTTGAACTCTTTAATAAGTAGGGTTGGGCAATATTGGCAAAAAAAATCACGATTAATTGTGGTATTTAGCCGATAACGATTAATTTGACYATTAATCCCCTGGAGTCCCTCATATTCTAATCACATGACCAATTTAGTGGGAAAGATTTGCTCTTCATAAAAATCTGTTCCAAATCYTGTCAAAATTACAGACTTCAGGCACAATTGTAAATTGTGTTGATAGATAAATTACAGAACTTTATTTTAATATTCGTCATGTTTGAAGCAGAGAGGAACAACAAGCGGACTCTGCCTGGTGACATTAATCGTATTAATCATCAAGTGCAAAAAAGTAATCGATTAATGTTTTTCTGATGATTAATTGCACACGATACGATTATGCCTAACCCTATTAATAAGCTGTACAAATTGTAAGGAGCACACACCAAATCTACCATTCTATTGTTTCCAAGTTTTAAATAAATGGATATCCAAATAGACAGAGATCATAAGAGAAACTAATTTTATACACTGCTACAGAGAAAAATATTTGGTAAAATCACTGATTTTGCTCTGCTGAAATCAGCCATGACCTTGCAATGAGAGAACAAAACTTGACTAGAGGAAATAATAGACACAAGATTTCAGTAATTGTCATCAGTGCACATTAAGCATTCCTGACAATGTGACTGCTCAGGGTGAGATTATCGATGGGTRAGGTATTCCCTACCAGGATTAATTTAGGTGTTTCACATCAGTTAAACAGTTATTGCACTTATTCATTACTTCAACCWCAGTGATGACAATGTCTCTCTGCTTTCTTTTACTTTCACACCTTTTTTTTAATTACATTTTTTTCCATGCAGGAACACGTTTTCTCTATTCATATGGAGGTTTTCATTGAATCAGGGTCAAATGGGGACATTTCCCATGTACCGACAGCAGAAGATAAATCCTGACATCACTTGTCAAAATGTGCTTGTGCTTTGTGATGATCTTATTTTCTCTCATGTAATCCTTCTGGTTATTTGCCCCCCACCACCATGTCTCTTTAGCCAGTGGAGGTAATAACCGGGGTTATGGATTGACTCATCATGTACCCCTGCTTTGAGGGAGCAATGAATAAGTTCAGGTCCAAGTTGCAGCATTGTATTATTTTTTCTCTAAGCGATAGCTCGGCATGAGAGCTCCTCTGTTTCTCACATGCAGATGGGCGTCTTTGCCAGGGCCGTGGTGCAGTGGGATGGAAAGCATGCCATTCCCTGTTCTGCTTGATGCCGAGTGACTGTTAGAGGTTGTGTCATGTTCCTTGGCTATTGACTCAATGACGAGGGACTTCATGACAAAAGTCTTAACCTGTGCGGGCTTTCTGCGTGCCGACAAAGAAATGTGTCTTCCACTTGTCTTCARATTGGCCTAAAGACTCTGTTGAACTGACGTGTCCACATCCCCAAAGTCTCACCTCCTGAACCCCGAAATAACCTTTTCACAACCTCGCCTGTCTCTCATGCTCTGGTGACCTTCAGTCTGTCTGCCATCCAAACACTTGCTCCATACATACGACATATTATTCACTGTCACCGTGGGTTGAAAAGTCAAGGCACAAGGTAAGTACAAGCCATTAGCTGGTTTTCAAACGATCGCGCAGAGCCAGACCTTTACAGCTGCCTTTGCCCTTATCTCATCCAGGAGACAAAACTACCTTTTGCTCTTTATTTCTTTGAAGAATAAAGATACAGGGACTTTCCTAACACTYCTATGCAAATGGCTCATTCTGATGATGCCTTGTCTTGTGATGTGGGTTTAGACGACTCCACTGATTTATTGCCAGGTTCTCCACTAGGTTAAAAAAAAATATATAGAATACCTCTGCAACTTAGTGACAAAGGCCCAATTATGTCTACTCCTTTCACACAGAAAAGGTCCATATTCAAAARAGGATGTGAATTGCAAATCCAGCTGCTGGTTGTCCTTACTCTTCTCTAATCTAATAATGTGATCCATCATTTCTGCAGGGACAGCTCTACAGCTCAGGCGTGAACGAATCCCACAGAGGATTAGTATCAAGATTTTATAACATCTACATGCAGTCCCTGGAGACTCTGGCAGAGAACTGATWGAAAATATTTACATTTTTGTAAACATTTATTGCTACATTTAAAAACACTTTTAGAGTTGCATTAGACTTGTCTGATTAGCCATTACCAACCTGCAAATATGTCTTTGACATCCAGGACTAGTGCAGTTTCCTTTAAGGTACCTGGTTAGGATCGATTTTCCATAAAACCTAAAACCTGCAGAACTGTGTTTTGTGCTCTGTGGTGGCGCTGTTGGTTGAGGGATGGTCCTGTTGCACAATCATCCATTTCCCTGATGAGCCTGCAGCCTCAGAGCTATGACAGCACAGCCACAGGATGAGCGAGACAGCCGACTGCCACTATTTGTTCTGCTAAGGCATTCATCACGCTAATTACCCATGGTGCCAAGCGGCTCCTGCAGCCTAGAGAAGCTTTGGCTGCTCATTTGGAAACAAGGTGAGGCAGGAAAACCTCAGATGAGCCTAAACAGAGGCTGTCCTCTTTTTTTTTCTGCCCCCCCATCCCTGCACATAATTAACCCAGCACTCCTGAAACTTGACAAATTGGAATGATGAATCTGGCCTCTATGAATAGATACAAATACAATGATCAATCACTGCAACCGAACAGCTTTTAGAATGAGGCACTGTGCTGCTGTAAAGGAAGGACAGGAAACGGGTAGATTTGCTCTGGTGGCAAAGTAAAGGTGAGTGTGTCTTTGTTGTGTGCTGTCAAAATGTGCAAGCGCAAACGTGTTAAGTGGGTGGTGCAGAGGAAAGTGGTAACAAAATCTCACCATTCCCTCATTTAAATGCCAAAGAAAAACAGTGTACCCAGTTTTGCATGCATCGCGCCTGTTCTAAAGGACTGCACACATGCAACCTGCTTCATGTTACTTCTCCTTCAGTGAAGGCAGACGCAGAACAACAGTCTCTCTGAATTACAGTCAGGTTTGCCATCTGACCTTGAACAAGTCAGACTTTTGGGTTGTGGGTTTTTTGGAGTTTCCTTCAACTGTCCACGTCCCTCCTGGCTTTCACACATACGTCTGCTCTAATGTAACGTCTCAACACCCCTGCATCAGCTTCCAGCAGCCGCCACAGATCAGTAACAAGGAAACTTTCTCAGAAAACATTAACTCCTCTGGTTCTTTACTGGAAGGATCCCTGCTACTCACAGAAATATATCAATGACACACAACAATTTACAAAATTTAATTTAGCTCATCGRTGCAAAAACAACATGCATAGGTTACAGATTTGTATATTTTGTTTATCAGGATTTATTACACAAAGCATTTCAGGTTTAATTTTTTCATCAATCTTTTAAGCCTGAAAATGCACGTAAATCAGCCGTAAATTACTGGACTAGCTCCTGTGAACTCGCTGCACAGGAGGTTTATTGCATTTACCTGTAATAACAGCAAAAACA